ACATGTATAAGAGAGCTAAAATCTAAAATGCACCAAAATTACGATGCTGAAGCGAAACTTCTGTTTTTCTGATTTTTGTTATAAAATTAGGCTTAGCGATGCAAAACCTCCGTCCTGTACAGTGACTGCCTTCGATTCTCTTCCGTCCCGCACAAGCATCTTAAACAAAGGTGCGTCGTCGTCAAAAGGTTAAAAGTTAGGTTTAATATTTATTGAGCTAAGCAACTCATGGTGTTGAAATTGTTTGTAAAAAAATTCTGTTCCATATTTTGAGAAATTAACATTGAAATCTCAGTTTGTGAATTTAATTCTCCTGTAAGCCATTTGTCAAATGAAATATTTGTAAACTAAAACAATTTTCCCCACAGGAATTAATCTAAAATGAAATATTTTGTTTCTGGGTCACAGATAATTGCTTGTTTAAATTTTATATAAATCTTTGTTTTTATGCCAAAAAAGAGGGGGGGGAGGGAACCATTTAACATGAAAAAATATTAACACAATATTAGGCAACTAGATAAAAACTAAATTAAGTTTTATTTACTTGAGTGAAGAGTGCACCAGCATTAAAATGACAAGAAGGTACTGTTTGGATGCAAAATTCCCTTCCATAAAAGCAGGTACATGTCTTCAGAGAGCATTTTCTTTTATCTTTTCTTTATCTCTAAGCACCTTTTGACTCTGCTTGAGTCTTACTGGAGCCTGTAGTTCCCTCTAAATCTGTTCATTGTTGTTACATGTGTTTTAAAATGTTTATGAAGCCAGATATAGCATTGTCACATGCTTATGCTGTAACTTGATGCTGCTTTATCAAAGTGATACTGACATGTAAAAGCTTTGCATCTTATCCCATTTTGTACAAATTTCATGAATCAGTAAACTAGAATTATTTTTCTTTCTTCTTCTGAAGATATTCTTTCCACAGTCGCCTTTTATTGCTGCTTTGAAAGTGTTTCAGTTCTTTCTCACTGAATTCATTTTCAAGGTCCTATAGTAACTACTCATCTTCATTGTTAACTTCTTAGGCTTTGGTTTTGCTTAGAGACATATCATCATAGATAAAAAATAAGGTCCTAAGTGTCAAAATGCTCAAAGTTTTTCCTGCAATTCTGTCTGAATGTAATTTTTTCCAGCCCAAATTTATGGCCCTATAAGTTACTAGCTGCCAGGCTTTATTAATTTGAGTTTAACAATGGGAAATATTAAAACAAGATTTGGGAAGTCCCTGAATGTTAATTTTGTGGTATTAGTTGCCTCAAAATAACCATCTGAAAAGTAATATAAAATAACTGTCAAATGACTGAAAATCATATACTTGAGGATTGAATGTTTTTAACTCGAGACACTACTTGCCATCAAAGCAATTTTTGTTCATATAATTTGTTCATGATGATCCAAGGCTCCATTGCATCTTGAAATAAATTTGTGGCCGTTAAAGTTACAATGTTTGAAGGAAGCATCTAATAGTCAAGAAACTAATGTAATATGTATAGCTTACAAATCATTAGCAATGCAGAATTATATGCATTTCACAGGCACCAGTAATGCTACTTTAGAAGCAGTATGAAAGAGATAGCAGGTTTTTCATATGCAGAGAATGTTTCGTTACTTATTTGTGTTGAAAATCTGTAAAATAGAGGAAATGTAATTATGTAAAGGGCTGTTCCCACTGGGGTTTATCTGAGCTAATCAACGCAACTGATTTTTTCCCATAGGGCAGCAAGTTGAAAAATCTGAACTGTAGGCATAGCGGAGCTAGTCGACACATGGAACTGACTCCTTTAGCTCAGATAAATCCCAGTGAGAAGACATAATCCAGTGGTATTCTAACGTGTTTGTAAAAAGTTTTTAGTGTATTGAAACTGTAGCTTATCGTACTGCAAAATTACAGTTTGTTTTGGTAGAAATTTAAGAAATGTTATATGAATATGCAATCAGTGGATCTGAGAGAAGTGCATAAAGCGATGTGCAGGGTTTTAACATAGTACCCAAGAATGAAGGCAGTTTGGCTGTATAGCCATATGGATCGTACAGCCACATTATGCATTTTAGCTTAGAAATTAGGATGTATAGCCCAATAAAAAATATCTGCAATCTGTATGTGGGAAACAGCATTCTCTGCAGCATTATGGTTTTTTTTTAAATAAAGCAGTCATTGCTTTGCATATTTTGAATGGTACTGCATCTGTGGCTACACTGCTGTGTTGAGCAATTGATCATGAATGGCATGATACCATCTTTCAGATGAATCCTACTGTCATATGTACAGTGTCATATGTACAGTGTCATAAGGGCTATGTCCATAAGAGGCAACATTGTTAGAATATTGATTTTATGCATTGTCATATTGGCCCAATGTCTATGATAAAAGTTTGGATTATTGTATACAAGTTCTTCTCAAATTTAATATGCATATTATGTACTCTGACTACCCATTGTTACATCATATTAGAGCCTGTGATTGCACCATATTTTCAGGGCCCCCATGGAGTCATGTATCAGCAGAACAGTGAGTGATTGCATATTGGGCATAATGTCCAAAATTTCTTCATAGATCATATGTTCTGCTTCTAACCTTGCTCAGTAACTTGTCTGATAACTGAAATTTCATGGGCAGCAATATATCAAACTGTCAGCCAGAAACTGTTCTACTTTATATTCAGCAGCTATTGCTTCCCATGGTGGTTGCTTACAGTATTGATTTTTGCACATTCTATGCATCGAAACTATTTGAAATTTTAGCTATTTCATCTAAATATTATGATGTACTTGTTAAGAAATATAGTTTCATTATTTTTTGCTTTCATATATTTGCAGTTTACATGTTTAATATCATTACTTTAAGAGAGGAATCCATTTTAACGATTAAATTTTGGGTCGAAAACTTTTTTTTTTTATATTGCTCATGATTTTTTGTAGCTCTGTATAATAATTGCTGTTTTCAGTTTGTTATACTTTGCTATCTGAGACTGAAATAATGGTGTAGAAATTGTTTTCAAAATCTTCTCGTTATGGAAACAAAAGCTTTAGTATGGACAAAAATGTAATAAAAAACATGCAGTTTGATTTTTCTGCTTCTAACCAGAAATCTTCACATTATGAACTGTGTTTAAAAACTGAAATTATTTTATTTAATAATGAAAAGTATTTTTCATACATATGTATGATTTGAAAATATTCAGAAATTATGTTACATCGATTGGCAACTGTTATATGCTAGCTGACACTCAGTCAGTTTAAAAAATTCTTGTATTTATAGGTATAAAGGCCTTATTTGTATTCGAGATATTACGTAGCATATTTGGAAACTAAGTACCATTTCATTCTAGCGCCGTCGCAGCGCTGTGGTAGGCGTCCCCCGCATGCGCACTAGTCTTTCTTGTTCACTGACTTTCAGTTGTCGCCATTTTGGTTGCTCTATGTTGTGTTTTCAGTTTGCTGTGCACATTCAAAATGTTAATTAGTTCTCCCGCTGACTGTGAGATTCGTGCCGTGATTAAATTTTTTAACGCGAGGAATGTTAAACCGGCCGAAATTTATCGTCAAATGACAGAAGTTTACTGTGAATACACGATAAGTGATGGAATGGTGAGAAAGTGGGTAAGAATGTTTAATGCAGGTCGAACAAATGTCCACGCCGAGGCTCGGAGTGGTCAGCCTTCTGTTGTCACCGATGATTTGGTAAGGAAGGTTGATGAAGCAATTCATGAGAACAGACGCTTCACAATGACAACTCTTTCAGAGGCATTTCCACAAATTTCATGTACTGTTTTGTTCGAAATTGTGTCTGACTGATTGAATTATCGCAAACTGTGTTCCCGATGGGTTCCAAAAATGCTCACTGATGTTCACAAAACAAAGCGACTTGGTAGTGCCGGGACATTTCTCACGTGGTACAGTGATGAGGGAGAAAACTTTTTAAACCAAATTGTGACAAGTGATGAAACTTGGGTGTGTCATTTCACACCAGAATCGAAACAACAATTGATGGAGTGGAGACACACTCATTGTCTGAAAAACAAAAGTTCAAAGTGACAATGTCATCACAAAAAATCATATGCACTGTCTTCTGGGATAAGAAAGGCGTTTTGCTAACTGAATTTCTTCCCAGAGGTGAAACCATTAATGCGGCACGATATTGTGAGACTTTAACAAAACTAAGGCATGCCATTCAAAACAAACGAAGAGGAATTCTCAGTAAAGGAATTGTGTTGCTCCATGACAATGCTTGGCCCCATACTGCTGGTGTCGCTCAATCGTTAATTCGACAGTTTCATTGGGAGCAGTTCAATCACCCGCCGTACAGCCCGGACTTGGCGCTGTCTGACTATTACTTGTTCCTGCACATGAATCGCGAGCTTGGTGGCAAGCGCTTTGGATCTGACGATGACACGAAAAATGCTGTGGAGTCGTGGTTATCGAAACTGGCGGGAAGTTTCTTTGACGATGATATACAAAAACTGGTCACCCGCTATGACAAGTGTTTGATCACAAGTGTTTGGCGTAAACTATGCTGAAAAATAGTTTAAGACATGTATTTTCATGTAAAAATAAAATTAGATTCGAAAAAATTGTTTTACTATTTTTTTCTTTCAAAACAGTACTTAGTTTCCGAATACGCCTCGTATCTTGTGTTTTAGATATTTAAAGGTGTGTCAATTGACAACACCTATCTTGTTTTATCAGGACATGATTTGTTTTGCATAGTGAAAATAATAGCACTTGCTTTTAGTTGTTAATAAATCTTTGCATTAACCAAGGTAATGAATATTATGTAAGTACAATGCTTTATAATATGGATCTAAATAAACCTATGTGCTTAGAAGACTGATTTGAATATATTCAACTGAAATCTTTTTCTTTTTGGGAAGCTTCTTTCTTGTCAGGATGCACAGCAGAACTCTGAGATAAAAATTAATTACTTGTATTATGTATTACTATGTAAATTCAATTAAATTATAATATTTTCCCTCACTGAAGTCTATTATAATTCTTTTCAGAGCCTCCAGATTTTGAAGGTGGACTTATCCTTCGACGAGGGGCCACCATTGAACACGTGGTAAATAAATTTAATTTTCAAATATGATTGCTGGGGTTTGAAATGTGCATATACTTAAAAAATAATGTTATAATTAAAAAAATATATAGTTTCATAGTGGAAAACACGTTTTTTTTTTTTTTTTTTTTTTTTTTTTTTTTTTTTTTTTTTTTTTTTTTTTTTTTTTTGTTTTTTTTTTCCTGGAAATTGTTTTCCTGAAACATTTTTTTAAATTCTGTTAAGTTGTTATTAAAGTGTCCTCATTTTTTTGAACATGTCTTTAATATTTTTGTGTTGAAATATATTAATTACTTTTTGTGCATTGTCATAATCCTTTCTAATACTTTCTAATACTTTCTCTTGGTTCTAAAGTAAACAGGTATAGAATTTTTAAAAGATGAAAATACATAAACTATTCTAGTAGAAAATTATTTTAGAAATAAATGTTATCAGACCTCATTTAATGTGTCAATAGTTTTGTTGCCTTAACATTAGGTTCTAAATGATTTTTGGCCGTCATATTTCAACAGATTTTCAAGTAAAACTCTCAAATCAGCTTTCATTTCCTCATTATAGTTTTTCCCCCATTTCTTATCTTAAACTTTAATTTCATTGAATGAAATAAATTATGAAAAGTGAGCTTAATATCTGTGTACATGGATTAGATTTACTTTTGGATTTTACATGTGCCCCAAAAAATAAACAACCAAATTCAAATTGTTAAAGATGTTAAGCTGAAATGATCATGTTTTGAAGAATGCGGGTGAATACTTGGCATGATTTTAAAATTGTTTTTTAAATATGTTACAGTTTATGTGAAATGCATTAATTTATGCATTTAAATTATTATTATTACTATGCATTTAAAAATGCAGGTACACTGTGAAAAAAAGGAACAGTTCTATATCTCCCGTTCTACTGGATCGATTGACGAAATTCATGCCAATTTTTTTCCATACTTTGATTGTGCGATTCAAATTATGCTAAACTGCCAAATTTTATAAAAATCGCACAAGTAGTTTTTTAAAAAAATTAGCTCTGTAAATTGAATTTGGTTACATATTTATTAATATCTCTTTTTTTATTAAACTTATTAGATTCTTCATTACACATTTCAAAATTTAGGTTCATTCCAAATAAAATTTGCCCATTTTTTTATGATTTATTTTAAAAATTTGTGTTTTTAAATAATTTTTATAAATTTTTCAAAAAAAATTTGAATTATAACTTATAAAATTTTTAACATCATTTTAAAGTAGATATCTAGGCACACCTGCAAAAAATTGGTTTTTATTACTCAAAATTTTCTAAAATGTACATGAATTTACATATTGGCACATTTTTAAACTTGGCATATTTGTTATTAGGGATAATAATGCCAAATGTGCTTTACACACTTTATTAAAATTATTTGAAAATATGAACGATGACTTTTTTCCCACTCGTCTGGAATTTAAAAAAGGAAAGGAAAATAGGTTGTTGTAAATTAAGAAGTTTCCCAAGTGAATTATTTTTGATGCAAACTCAAAAAAAGTGCTGCAAGGTAAATTTTTGAATTTCTCCATATATTTCTCACAAAATTTTACAGAATTTAATATTTAGGCATAATTTGAGTCGTAGAATCAAAATATGGAAAAAAAAATGTCATATTATTTCAGAAAAAGTCCGTTTTGTGTCAAAATACCTATATTATTATAGCAATGCTATATATAAATGTAGTGTATATCTTAAGTCGTGCTTTGGACACATGAAAAAAACAATTTAAATTTCGTCAATCGGCCCAATAGAACGGGAGACACAAAACTGTCCCCCCCCCTTGTTTTTGTGCAGTGTACCATGCTTAGTACTGAAATTTATATATTTGTATGTTATTTCTATATTGTAAGATATAAGGAAACTAATTTTAAAACTTTCACATTTCTACTCTTATTTCCAGTTTAGTACTTTAGATAAAGATGTACTTATATTTTTCTAATGCAGTTTTGAATTTAAAAAAAAATATTTTCATCAAATTTTTCAGAATTTTGAAATTAAGGTGCTAAGCTTTTTGATTTTAATCTCTTGTGCTTATTTAAAGCATTTCTTTTCTTTCATTTATGTGATCATTTTCTTTTTCAGTGCCATGCTATTCATAGGAGTATAGTGAATGTCTTCAAATATGCCTTAGTTTGGGTAAGTATTTGCTTTATCATTTTTTATGAGAGTCATCCGGAAAGTAAGTTTCCTATGGTTCATAAAAAGAAATAAAATATAATTACCTGGAAAGATTTATTGCAAAAGAGACAACAGTATTGAGTTGCTTCTCAATATAAGAACCACCAAAACTGTAACACTTCTCTTACAATGGGATAAGTTTTTGTGGACCATTGTCATAGAAGTTTGTCACCGGGAATGGAGCCAGAGTGTCGCAGTTGTCTGCACATCTTCGTCTGTGTCAAAGTGATGGCTGGAGAGGAATTTCTTCAGGTGCAAGAACAGGTGGAGGTAGCTGGAAGCAAGATTGGGACTATAGGATGAAGAGTGAAACACCTCCTAGTGAAACTTCTGCAGCAGCAACACAACACCAGCACTAAGCATCCCACACTTCTTACTCTGAATGCTCATAGCAAGTAATGTTCAGCATTCATCGTAGCATCACTTTGGCAAGAAAGCAACAAGCAAAAGAACTTTTCCTGTCCCAGAAAACTGTGCACATTAGTTTCGTATGGATACAGTCTGCATGAATTTGAATGTCTGGTCGGACATGGAGATTCATTGTAATGCAAATGCATTGACTGTTGTGTGGTTTGTGGGTAAAGTGAGCAATCCACATCTCATCACCTGTAACCATCCTGTTGAGGTACTCGTTACCTTCATCGTGATATCGCTGCAGAAATTAAGGTGCTGTTTCCATGCATTTTGTTTGTTTTTTGGGTAAAAGGTTCTTTTGTATCCACCTGGCATATAATTTCTGAAACAACAGGTATTTTACGATAATTTCGTGCACCCCCAGTTCAGGATATCTGTCGAAGTGGTTGCTAAGTTCCGTAACCATAAAGTGACGGTTCTGCCAATTGCACTACAGCACCTGCTCCAGAAGTCTGTTATTGATGACAGGTAGCTGGCTGTAGCACTGTTCTTCATGAACATTTTGCCAAACTTCATGAAAATCCTGACACCAATGACGAACCGTCTGCTTGCTCATCACATCCGGTCTTTGCACCACAACTGCCAATTAAAACTAGAACTACACCCCCATTGTGCAAAATAACTTGTTTATTAGGGAGTTGCAGTGCAGTCTAGAAGAAACTACACTACTGTCGTGAGTGCGCTGCCGGGGACTCAGAAGAAGCCATTACCAAATATATAGCTATGGCTATGACCCAATGACAACGAACAATAGATAAACCAGATCAGTCAAAGTTGGGGTCTGATAAGGCGGACATACAGTCCAACACATACCAAATAATGGTTCAAGTGAGATAATAATTTAAAGATGCAATTTAGTTACATATAATCCCAGGAATAGATGTTTAGCAGAGCTCTGTTGAGAAAGATCCACAGTATAAAATCATAGAGACTAGCCATCATAACTGTGGGGATTTCAAATCATTACAATGATGAGCCACCAGTTGATATACTTACAAACCAGCTGTGGGTAGCTGATTAACTTAAGAATATGCGGACTTCAAAAATAAGGCCTATTCAAGAGTAATAAATAATCCACACTCCTAGTGAGCAAGTGGGATTCGTCCCCGAGTGATTATCTCCAAATCTGTTCGCTAGATTTGTGGAATTACTCAAAGATATAGCGGGCTTGGATAGCGAGGGGATAACGGCTATAGCGTTGTTAAAGCGACGAGCCACCAATTTGAGAACCTTTAATCTAACAAAGTTGGAGAATATAATTCTAGCCCACCAACTTGCAAATAGGCAGAAGGGATCATTGTAATGCCCTTCAAGGTCAACAAGTATCCACTGTCCCGACTCGCCAACAGGGCAAATGTGGCACTTTTGATAACTACCGTATAATGGCAGGAATGCACCTGAACATAGTTAACCCAGGTTAGGTAGAAGAGCCCAGCCTGGTTACATAGTGGCACCACAAAGAGGCCTATGTTTGAGCTAGAGCCATGAGAGACTATGTGTTCCGTATCACTAGCTCTATAGTTTTGCCAGTCTCTCGGATTGAGCTGGTCAAGCTCCAGGTCACCTTTCACTACTGTGGCTTGGTCTGGACCACTCGTCCAGTCCCTCTCCTTAAGGTGGCTTAACTATGTACCACCACCACAACTGACAATGGATTTTAATCAGCTCTACCTTCTGTGTGTTAAAAAAATTTTTTTGGACCTCGCCTTGCAGTGTGCGGGAGAAGAAATAAGAGCTGACATCTTGGCGCACTGCAACAAAGTTAATGTAAGCAATCAGGAAATTACAACTGCTGCATATAAAAGCCACACCCACAAACTACCTGGTATGTGCCTTTGCATTTTATTCCTTTTGCAGCACTATCTTTTGACGATGTGGAAAGTTTACTTTCCTGATGACCCTCGTAAATGAGTTTACTTGCTTAGAAAAATATAGTGTTTCAGAAATGTTTGTATTATTTGTAATATCCATCAAGCTGAATTAGTTGATGTTAAATAGCAAAATTTAAATTAATTTTATTTTAATCAATAATTACACATTTTAAACTATTTTATATATCAAAGTACAATTTTTCTTCTTTGTGAAATAAACATAGATTCAGAACTTTGATTTTCTATATTTAAAAAAATAAATTTTTCAATAATAATGAGTTTAATTTATTTTAATTAGCAATTCATGTTAATGTATGTTGTATGTGTCTCCTTTCAGTATTGTGACCATGATTCTTTTAATATTTACACATTTTTCATTTCATTTTTTAACGAATTTTATATATATATATATATATATATTTCATTATAAATTTGAGCTGTAGTTTGGAAATCAGGAATTATTTTCAGTTGTGAGCATAAAATTTCTATTATCTAGAATTTCTTGAAGCTGTAAATCATGCGACAAGTCCAACTTGCAATATTATCTTGTGATCCAAATTTGGATAGAAAATATTTTAATTTCTTATATGATATGCATTAGTTAATTTTATGTGTGTTAGAGTAGAAAGGTGAATGGATTAAGCTATAAAAATAATTTAAAATAGCTAAGAAAACTGAAGTTAAAAATGAAGACTGATGTATAACATTAGTCATTTTGATTTGTTAGTCTGCTCAAAACATATTTTTCTGCACTAACAAATATCTGAATAGAATTATAAATTTTGTTCTCTTTGTTGATGGTCCAGCATTTAATGTTCCATTCCAGTGGTTTTCAAAATGGGGTATGCTAAGTGATACTTGAGAGTACATCAAAGAAGTAAGCTCATGATCACTTGCAAAAGTGGGATCATGTACCTTGAGTGAGGTTCTTTTATTGGTCATTGTGTCCGCTTTCACTAGCATTAGGGGAGCTCAGCATCATAAATGCATCAGCTTTAAGACACATGTGCATATATATGTATATATATAATTTATAATTACTTTTGTCTTAGGGGTAAAGGATAAAAAAAGCCATGGAGATCACTGTTATATTCAATAGATATTTGTTTGAAGTTGTAGTCAAAATATGTTAATAAGCAGGGAGTAAATTTATCTCTTTGTATGTGCAGGTGATAGATGGCATAACTGATTAATTGTCTATTGCCTGCTGCCATACTAAGAAATAAAACAAGAACCAAAATAAAATGCTTTGCAACTGCTCATTAAACTCAAATTTTGAGGATCAACTTAACTTCTATTGAAAAAAAAAATGATTGACACTACCATTTAGGACCCACTGGGGTATTCACTAAATGATAAATGGAAAAGTTTTCCATACAGTATTCAAATGCTATATTGGCAGAAATAGTAGAGGTTATCCCCATGCCAAAAGAAGAATAATAAGTAGCAGTAGATTACATTAGGCATAGAAAGACAAATTTCTGTTTCTGTAATCTTTAATGATTAATCTCTAAAAATGATGAAATCAGAATAAATGAAATGCAGAATATTCAATCTGACATAATAATAACACATACTTTCAGCATGAACATTTCAGAATGTTTTTTTCTGAAGCAATTATAATGTAATTTTCCACATGTAATTTTTTATTTATATTAAACATATGAATGAAATGCTTGAGTTCATTTTAAGAATGTTGGTTAGTTAAAGTTAGTCTAAAAATAGTTAATTAGTCTAAGAATTGATTATAATTTTATTTAATTATTATTATTTATAATATTTTATTGATCCAATTTAATTTCCATGTCTTAATGAAAAATTGAATATGGCTCAAAAGTGTTGAGTCACTTTCTCTAATGACTATTATTTTATATATTGTTATATTTTAAGCTGGAAACATTGTAATTTTCATTTAATAAAATTATATATATATCTCTCTCTTTATTTTTAAAGGAGTTGTCAAGTAAATAATGTTTTGTTTTATCTTTTAGGGCACAAGCACAAAATACAGTCCCCAAAGAGTAGGTTTGCAGCATGTAGTCAATCATGAAGATGTTGTTCAAATTGTAAAGAAATAATTTTTTATGACTTTTCAATTAAAAATTAATTTCCACTGTTACTGCTGAAAATAAGTATTTTTCCTTAAAAATAGGGTTTTTATATAAAACTTGATAAACTTCAATATTGGTTACATCATATGTTAATATGTACAATTTTGAAATATATGAGGAATTTACATTTCCTCTATCCTGGTTACTATTAAAAGTTGATGATAAATTTCAAGAATTTCCAAATTATTTTATAAACAAATAAAAACTTTAGGATGTTTTCAAATAAATGTTTGTTTTCTTTAAAATTTTCATGTAAATGTCCGTCTTTTACAGAGAAAATAAATTACAGTAAACTCTTGATGTATCAGTTCAATAATAGCTAAACTTTTCCTTACTGAGCTTTGGGGGGGGAGGGAGGCTTTTATCCATCATAGGGGTTTTTCCTCTAAAGGGATGTGCAATGTTTGGAAACAAGTTTATTTTAAACTTAAGAGGATTATAAAATAACATCTTTAAGAATTCAACAGCATATGTAACAGAACACGCCCACAGACGGGTATATGCACACTAACACAGACAAATTAAATATAAATGCATAAATAAAATAAAAATATGCAAATCAAATAAAAAATAACTTGCCTTTTGGCTTTATCAAAAGAATGTAAGTGAGATAGATGATAGATAGGTGTAGCCAGGTGTTACATAAGTTATTAAAAATAATATGCCATGAATGGTGGTTTTGTATGCATATCTTCTTTGCCATTTTATTAGAAGTTTCTACTATCTTCTTAAGGTAAATGTTAAATTTTTTTTTTATATTGTGAGTCTCTCAGAATTCTCATGAAATGCTGCAGTGTATTTCTGTACATCTTTGCTGTTTGTAGTTCATTATTTTCCTCTTTTCAGTTTTTAGGTTTTTCTTTATCTTTTTTACCATTTTCCTTTTTTAAAGAAATATTTCAGGAAATTAAAGTATCATGTTCTCTTCATCTTTAATTCTTCAAATAAAATTTTGTACTAAAGAAGTTATTTTCCTTTCTTTAATTCTCTTAATTATTATTATCACTATTAATCTGTTATAATAATTTTGAAAAAAAGTCTCCCTTCTGGAAACATCTTTGCACACAGCTCGAGCTAATACTTTTAGCAACTTCTGATGCTCTCTGTAAAATATCCTCAGACTGCTAATTTCTGTCCAGAGAGGTTAAATTTTTGTTAAAATACGGTGACTGGATTTCTTTATGTAGTCTGTAGTAATAGAATTATTTCTTGATTGGCATACCAGTACAGTTATTGGCAGGAAAAAATTGTTGTTGAATTTTTTATTTTAGTTTGGTTTATTTCGGGACATATTTTTGAGTAAAATAGTTAGCCATTTTGCCTAAATTTGTTTGCCATCCAAACTAACTTTTGGTTTTTTACTGCTGATTAAATTTACTGGAATTTACTCTTAAAACAGTTTAGCTGATTTGCATTCCCTGTGACAAGTTGGGTTTTCAAAATCGTTGCCCATATGCAGCACAGCATCACTTACTCTTCCTTTTAAAGTGTAATTCCGTGGCTTTTTCATTTTTTAAACATGTTTATTTGTGTAGCTATACTTTTATAGCATGCATTTAACCGTGCATTATTTATATATTATTATTTATAGCATTATGGCTATTCTGTCACTGAAATGCAGCTCACATTAACAGATAGTAGTTTTATTTTTGAAATCTACCAAAAAGTATAAAAACAGTTACATGCATATATTAAAGAAAGGCTTCTATGCTATATTTGTGTACTTTAACTATATCAAACATAGCATAAATATTCTTTGATACCCTACAGAAAGTATTGATAAGACAGCTTCTTTCCCGACCATCCCTAAATCTAAAGAGATTCCGGTGCTAGAATCATCTTCAAGTCTTGTATGAATCTACTTGTATGAATTTTTCACAAAGACCAACCAATGCTGTTTGCTTTTTACATTTATTATGAAAAGAGGTTAATGTGAAACACGAACAACAGAACTAGTATTTAATCCTCCAAGCAGCTTACTTAACAAGTAAACTTATGAGTAAGCATTATTTTTTTATTTTAATTCCAAACTGACTCTTTTGCTTTGTACCTTGAATCATTTCCTTCTGATATACAGTACAAAGTCTTTAATCCGGACTCGTCTGGACTTCGGAAATTCCGGATTAGGGGTTTTTCCGGATTATCGATCATCAATTTAAATCTGGTAAGATAGCATGCAGAAATTATACAATTAAGAATACGAAACTGTAATTTATGAAATAAAGAGAAATTCTGATCTAAAGGGTATCAAAATTTACAAAAAAAAAAAAAAAAAAAAAAAAAAAGCTTAATATTTATTTGTTTACTTTGTTAAACATTTCTTTCAACGCGCGCATGTGTAAAGCATACATTACGCATAGTCGAAATTAGAAAATTGCAACCAGAAAACTGATGTGTATTCATGATATTTATAATGACGAGAAATTTGATTTAAATCATATCAAAGACGGAGTACATCCAGATGAAATACTACATTTAGTAAGGAATTATAAGCCGAATAAAATAAAAACATCTGCCCTGAAGATGATGACAGTGCTGACAGATCAACTTCCAGTTCATCGCGCGCCGCAACATCCCCCCTTCGCAGCAGTGTTAAATTGATAAACAGGTTTCGGAATAGTTAGAGAAACAAATATGCCTTTATCCATTTTTTGCAGCAATTCCACTTTTTGTTTGATGGACATCGAAACATGCTTTCGCTTTGTAGATCATTTGGCAGCTCCAGAATCAGAAACTCTTTTTGACATAATCGAAAGTTCAAGCTTACTTTTTATAAAATTGCTCTAACAGTCTGCAAAAAAATAATAAGCCGGATCCAATTAGAAGATTAAGGAGCAACACAATCTGCAACATTAACTGAAATAGATCATTAGATAATTTTAGCCTAGCTTATTGCGTTTACGCATGCACAGAAAGTTTGTAGCTTTGAGGTCCGGATTATGGACGTCCAGATTTAAGACTTTGTACTCTCTCTATGTATATACTACTGTAGTTTTCTGCAGATATATCAAGCTGCATATCAGTGTTCTTAAAAAAGTTACATGCACTTAAAGAAGTCACGGCACATTTTTTTGAATGTATAAGGGTTGTTCAAATGAAAAGGTATGAAACATCGTAACAACCAAACCAGTTGAAATTTGAATATCCCACTTTGTCATGATGCAACATCTAAGGTGAGACATCTAATGTAGTGAGACATCTAAGGATGCGAATGCAGTAGCTGACATGGTTGTGCTCATGCGCAAGCGCCAACACATGATGCCGGAGTGAAGCAGGCAGTTGTTTGTTCCGTCCAGTTGATGCGACACTTTGTGTGATGACGTCTTGGCGTTCAAAATGCAAAATTCAACGGCTGACGAGCAGCGAGATGTTATCAGATTTTGACTGTGGAAGGGGTTAAACCAGCCGTTATTCATCGCTGGATGATGGCCGTATATGGAGCAGAACTGGCACGTCACTCTCTCACTGAGTTGTTGGACATACAATCTGTATGTCCAACAAGTCATTGAGTTTTCCTCTAATGTAATGTAAATAGGATTAGGATTCTGTTTGAAGGTCTTCCAAGAAGATGTCTATTTTGGGAGGTATTGTATTCTTAGTTATATTCAAAACAAACAAATATATTTTGAAAAAATTGAAAGAAACTTGGCAACTCTAAGTGATTTATTTTTATGGATAATCTCCTACTCATAAAAGTTTCATAGAAATATTTCTCCTACTAATAAAATTTATGATTTAATACTTAAAGATCTCATTCTAGGTATGAACTGAGGTATCTATAGCAGGGGTTCTAAACTGGTGGTACACATACCACTGGTAGTACTCAAGAGAAAAATAGGTGATACACAAAGAAGCAAAGTATTTTTAACTATTAAATTCAAAAATTAAAACCCCAACATCCTGATTCAGTTTTTTCTCTAATACTCATAAATTTATGCGATCTGAGCTTTGTTGAAAAGTGGTGGTGGTGGTACTAAAGGTTTTTAATTTTTGTTTAGATGGTATGCGTTAGTCAAAAGATTGAGGACCACTGATCTATAGTATTCTTTACTATCTATAGTATTCTTCACTGATCTATAGTATCAGTGTTAATATACAGTGATCAAATGAGGAGAAACTGTGAATTTTACATAAAAGAACGTGAAATGTGTAACTGAAAAAAGAAAACTCATAAATTTTCCATTTTCCATTTTTGCTGGTCAAAAAATCATATTTTTTATTTCTCTGTGCCCAAAATTGTTTAAGGAACATGTTTTGTAAGTGAATTAGATTTGAGGCATTTTGTATCTATAATTAGGTCATAATCTATAATTAGTTGTGGATCCCATTTCTAAGTGTCAGCTTTACAAGAATTTGTTTCTTAATTGCTTTTCACTTATATTTTTGAATTTTTCTCTGCTTTCTGTAGGCATATGCCTCTTTTTTATAATTTTCAGCCCTACATTTGAAAAAAAATCTTTTAACTTTCAAAAATAAAGTTCTGAAAATCTACTCACATTGTGGCAATTCCTCACGTTTGTTATTAGTTGCTTTAACATTAAAAATGACTCATTAAGTTGCCACCTTTAATTTATTTTTTATTTATATAAATTCCTTAAAATCAAATTATGTTTGAGTGAAATGTTGGAAGGTAACTTTAGCTAACCTGTAACATAGTAATTACTACTATTATTCAATGCATTGAGGAGATGCTTGGACATATGGAATTCTGCTTTCAGGAGTAATTTGAGTGGATGTTAGTTAGTTTAAAAAATTTGTATACTTTATGTTTACAATGTTTTTTGTTTTGTCTAAAAACATTCAATTTTACCTATTTATTTATTCATTAATTTGCAACTTTGATATTGCACTTTGATTTTTGCAAATGACACATTCGTGTTTCTAAACATTGATAGATATTCATAGTTTTCAAGAAGATAGAATTCTACAACATTTTTTTGTGAACACAAAAGTTGCATATGTTATGTATCAATATTCCTTTGGACTGAAAGGGTATTTTGTAATTAAATGATCAAGAAGAATTATTTAACTTTTATTCAAAGTAGAAGGTAAGAGATTATAAGCAGATAAGTTTTCTACAGTTGTTGTTTGGTAATTTTCTAGGATAAGAATGTTGATATGTCTAGTCTAGTAGTTTCCAGTAAATTCTAGAAATTTTTAAAATACTTAAAGTGTTTTTTGAATCAACCCACTGGATACTTATAGTACATTTTAATTTAATTT